TATTTTATATTTTTTACTAAATTACGATTGTTTGACAACTCTTTCAATGCCATTGTCCTTTTTTAACTACTTTTTTCATTTATTTATTTTCATTTTCTTTTGTAAACCAAGAAGGTTAAGAGTTAAAGAGTAGCTTCAGCTAATCTTCGCCTTCTTGGTGCAAATGTAATGTAATAATTTATTTAATAAAGACATTATTATTATTATTATTATTATTATTATTATTATTATTATTATTATTATTATTATTATTATTATTATTATTATTATTATTATTATTATTATTATTATTATTATTATTATCTTTATGAAACGGCAAATTTTACTATAAGACTACGACATCTACACAATAACGTGTGTAGTTGACCTATTTACAACATTTTACAGGTCGCCAAATTCAGACATAGAAGAAGTGTTTTGTATGAACACATATTCCATCTAAATGTATAGAACACTCGATATACCCATCAGCTTTTAAACAATCAATTGTTACTCCATTACATAAAAAGGGAGATGTAACAAACATCAGCAATTACCGACCCATATCGTTAATTACCCACTACTCAAAAGTTTTTGAAAAATTAATTAAAAATAGATTAGCTACATACCTAAACAAATATGAAATACTCTCAAAACAACAGTTTGGTTTTAGAAAAAACATCTACAAAAGACGCCGTTATTGCCTTAACTTCAAAAGTAAGTAAATCACTTAATGAAAACAAGCCTTGTTTATGTATATTTCTGGATCTTTCAAAAGCATTTGACACGGTTAGTCATCATCTTCTCCTGCAGTGCTTGGAAGATATTGGTATACGACATAATAATTTAAATCTTTTTAAAAATTACCTTACCAATAGACAACAGACTGTGAGAATCGATGATGTACTCAGCAGTGCAAGAGTTGTTGAATATGGGGTACCGCAAGGATCCGTACTTGGTCCCTTTTTGTTCAAAATGTATATATTAATGACTTGTTTTCTTTAAAATCTAGTAGATGATACTGCTATATTCTATAGGACAGATAATTGGAAAGAACTAAAAGTGAAAGCAGAGATAGACTTTTTAGAAATAAAAAAATGGTTAGACTACAAACTTCTAACTGTTAATATAAGCCAAACTAATTACTTGCCTTTCAGCTGTTATTCCTCTGGTGGTCCTCCTCTCAATTGTCTCAATATCACCAACTCGCTTTCCATATTACCTGAAAAAAAAAAATATATTTAGGTGTAATTATCGATAGCAATATGAAATGGGACATGCACATATCTTATGTAACAAGTAAATTACGAAGTATATTATTTAAATTTAGAAAATTAAAAGATTATTTACCTGAAATGTTTTTAAAAATGTTATACTTTGCATTTGTAGAAAGTCATCTTCGTTATGGGCTCATTGCGTGGGGTACAGCTCTTAAAACTCACCTTTCTGGTTTAGAAGTAATCTAAAGAAGGTTTTTAAAATTAATTTTATCCAAAAACTCGAAGTATCCATCAGATGCATTATATGCTAAAATAAAAATAATGGACATAAGGCAATTATACTATTTGTGTTCGTGTGTTAGATATCACCTGTATAAGCAAACATCACTTTGTTCTTCCATTTATGAACAAATCTTGTTGCCAGCGTTCTTATCTGTTTATAGCACCAAAACTATACAACGCTATACCAGAAACTTGAAAAACTATTTGAAGTATTTGTGGCTTCAAAAGGGTTGTATTACGTTTCGCCCCCGCCGTTTGGCCCCCACTGTTTTGCCCCCGCCGTTTCGCCTTTGGACGTTTCGCCCCCATACCGTTTCGCCCCCTACCGTTTTGGCTCCAAGAATTTTTGTAAATAAAAATGAGTCCATTTATATTCTATTTGACATCATTTTGAAGGATTCTGACAAAAAAATTGCCCCCAAATAGGTGTCGATAAGTATGCGACATAGGCGGCATATTTTCAACTTTTCTTTTTCTTTGGATAACTTTTCTGAGAGGGTCCTTTTTAGAAAGCAACGTTGATATATATGCGTGAACATTTTCTAAAGCAGTTGCCACTATATATCTGTTGTGTTTGAATTTATTAACTAACTTACTCAAAAAATAGTAACGACTGATAGTATTCAGTATTGAATCACCCATCTGTATTTATACCACTATACCTGAAGTGTTAAATCATTAAATAATTCATACAATATTGAACTAAAATTATTACATAATAACATTTCTTATGCTTAAATAATAACGGGGGCGAAGCGGTCGGGGGCCAATCGGCGCCGGGGAGGAAACGGCCGGAGCGAAACGGCGAAGGCGAAACGGCGAAGGCGAAACGGCAGGGGCGAAACGGTGGGGGCGAAACGTCACCATACCCTTCAAAAGACATCTAAAACACTTTATTATTGATACTACTAGGTCTATTATTAATAATCTTTTTGAAAACTAAATAATTATTAAAAATATTGATAATAATTTAGTGTTACGTTTTTTATATATTTGTACATTCTGTTGTAAATTTTATGTAGTTGTAAATTGTAAGATTTATATCATATTATTTACATATTTTGTATTTTAACCGAAACAAGTGTCTAGGCACTTATCGGCATTTTTGTCTTTATTTTAATTGTTTACATATATTTTTTTCAATGGTTTTTTATTAATTAAGCACTTTATTATTTATTTATCATCTCTGCAAAAAGGGAATTTTGAAAACATACTCTAAGAAAGAATGAAAGTATCTTTCAAAATTATAGAACAGTTGTGCAAGGCCTATTCACGGTCAAATTGTCATTTTTATAAGAAAAAACATGAAAAAAAAAAAAATTCTCCAGAGCTCCTAAACACAAAACCAAACTATGCAACAGAGGTGAAGTATTTAACTAGGTCTCAGATTTGTGAGCAAAAAAAACATGTAATAAGTCAAAAAAGTCAATATTTTAGTTTTCTAAATTATCCCTTATAAAACTCGTCACAATATTACATTAAAATATCTAAGAACTCAACATATTTTTTCTATTTAAGCCCTAAGACCAAGATACCAATCATAATTAACCAAAAAGATACAAACAAAACAATATAATTTCGTTTTGTATTTAAATGCCCTGCTCTCTTTTCTCCTGATACCATTATGCAATATTCACATAAGGATCTATTTCCAGTAAAAACAAGATTAACATAATACGCTACACGCTAAAAGATAAATTGAAAAAGGAATAAAAATTCCAATCGTATTATTTTATAACGATTAGGTACCTACAAATCCAGTTTTACATAAACCGAAACCAAAACGAAATAATAATAAAACAAGCCGTTTCTCCCTTTCGGGATGTTACATAGATTGCTTTACCTAAATCCGTGTATGCCCCTGCTGCGGCTTAGGTCAATAGTGTTTTGTTTATCGCAATAATAGAAGCAAATCGAAATTTACCCTGACAACTGAATGCAATTATCGATAATGATTCGGATTCTATCTGGCGTTCCAAGTGGAATGTGCCTTTGTGAGAATACATGTGGGTATATCGTGCGACACTAAATCAAATCTGGATTTTAGCCCATATCATTTATTGTGCTTAATAAGATAAAGATAATAATTAATATTTTTGAAAATGATGTATCTTGACTTATAGAAGATATGAATAATTCTTACTTTTAATATTAACAGTTTCATTGCCTGAAACAGTTTTCGCCTTTCCTAAGAATGTATTAATTATACAGGGAGCTTAAAAACATAATTTATTTTTAATATCGATGGCGTAGATTGTAATGCTTGTATATTTAAAATAGCAAATAGTACAGGAGGCAGTTAAAACGGCCCATAAGTTACATTTGTTTGTTGGTTTGTTTACTTTATTTTCACTAAAACACTTATTTATTTGTACTAAATATAATAGTCCTACAGCCAACGTTCAGATTTGTGGCTCATTTTCTTCTAGCTAAATATATTATTAAATTGACTAGGGTGCTTACGCAGCTATAGGCATTAGGGTGGTTCGTTTTTTAACTTTTTTGTTGTTATAAAATGCCTGTAGTAGAAAAAAGTTGGAAAATGGTATATAATGTTAAGAAAAGAGTTTTTTTTTTTGAAAAATGTTTAGACCTCCCGCCAGGCCCCCAAAAATTTGAAACATAATTACCCATAAAATTATTAAGCCTGTACTGGTAAATATTTTGTTAAGGTTCCCTAGATTTCCATAAAACATATTTAGAAATTTGTAATATATTTAAAACCCCCGCAGACCCCTTAAAACTCGCTAAAATTAAATTATTTATAATACACTAGTCTAAAGACACTTACTTTATGATACAAATATTATTTATTTACTTATTTATTCATTTATTTTGTTTACACCGCCAATTACAGGGGAGGTGAAATAAATATTAGGATGCAATCTGTAGGAATCAAATAATACATACATTTATTTGTTTTTAACTATTGTTTTCAACTACATAATCTGATTTGGTGTCAAACTTTGGCATGGTTTTTCTGAATGCTATTGTTGTACGTATCCATCCATCTCTATTATTGTTACCACAGACTACCAAGCAGGGGCGGTTTCTCCATTGGTTCATTTGTGCAGTGAACACCCAGTTAAATTTCATAAAAACACATTATTTTAAAATTACATAAGTAATATAAAAATATAAATTTAATTTAATTTTTTTTTATTTTTATACGTGTTAATATATGTTTTTTGATAAATCATTGTCCTCTGGCTGATCGCGTCTCTGTGGCACATACTGTATACTACCTAAGTATTTAAATAGTTTATATATGTTATATATGTTAATTATCAATCGTGTTACCCTGAAATCTTTTTTTTATTTATTTATTTATTTATTTATTTGTTTACGGGCAAAGCCCAATTCAGTTTCCATACAATAAAATACAATATAAAATAAAAAATACAATAAAATAGAATAGTGATATCATAAAAATTAAGTAAAATATAGAATAAAATGGTTAGATAAAACAATGGACATTAATGTACAGAACAGCAATTAAATTATAATGTGTATTTATAAATGAAAAGTATGGAATTGCTTGAGGCGTTCAAATATTCAGTGAGAGTAAGTCGTTCTTAAATCCTTGAACAGAACTGTCAATAATTTAAATATCATGAAGAGAGTTAGCTAGTCTTGCAGCCGTATGCATAGTCGATCGCCAGCGACTCGCCAGAGATTCATTTCGGCGTATCGCCAGCGATTCGCTGGCGATCCGCCGGCGAAAGCCCAATAAGCTGGCGACTCGCCGGAGATTGTCACCGGAATGTCATTTCACGCAAGTTTTCATGTTCTTTTATAGGGAAAAATTTGATATTCCTTCATTATTTTTTGAGTTTTAAGAAATGAAATATGAATAAAATGCGAGAGATACCGGTGATAATCCCTATAAAAGAAAATAAAAACTTGCGTGAAATGACATTTCGGTGACAATCTCCGGCGAGTCGCCAGATTTGAAAGAAATGAATCTCTGGCGAGTCGCTGGCGATCGACTATGCATATGGCTGTAAGTGTTCTAGGAATAAAAGTATTAAACGCGTAATTGTAATGGTGAAAAGGATTAATTCTGGAAAGGAGGTCGGGGCAATTACACCTGCCATTGATAATATTGGACAGTATGTTAAAATCTTTTCGTTTCCTACGAACTTCCAGAGAAGGTATGCTTAAATATTGTTGCAATTCCGCATCATTGTAGTATATGTTAAACTTAAATGCTATGTATCTAAGAAAATTATTTTGAACTTCATCCGGTTTACTTTTATGAATTAAGTAGTGTGGGAACCAGACTTAGTAGCAATAATCAAGGTGTGTCCTAACGAAAGAGAAGTATAGCATTTTAGTTGTGTTAATATTAGTGAAGTCATGAATTGTCCTCTTGACAAAGCCCAGCATTTTCATTGATTTTTGAACTGTAGCAGTGATATGGCCATTAAAGCTTATGAAAGAGTCAAAGGTGATCCCTAGATCCTTGATTTGATCGACAGGGTCCAAAACATGTTGAAATAAACTGTAATTATAAGTTATTAAATTATGGCTGTGACAAAATCGGATAATGTGACATTTGTTAGTATTTAGATCCATGCCATTACTAGAGCACCAACTTTCTAGTTTATATAAATCCGACTGCAAAATCTGAGTGTCGGCATAATCATGAATGATCTTGAAGCATTTCAAGTCATCTGCAAACAATAGGGCTTTAGTGTTAGGAAAGCAAGTTGTGATGTCATTAATAAACAGGTTGAATAGTAGCGGTCCTAAGTGAGACCCTTGAGGGACATCCAAAGTTACTTGGAAAATTTGGTAATAATGATGATTTACTCGAACCTGTTGAGTTCTATTTGTTAGATAACTACCGAGCCACTGTAAGACAATCCCATCAATACCATATAAATTTAACTTATGAACGAGAAGATCATGGTTCACCTTGTCAATGGCCTTGGAAAAGTCTGTATATACAGAATCTACCTGTAGACCCTTCTCCAAAGCTTTTGTTAATAAGCTTAGTTCAGCAAATTTGCATGGCAAAAAACTAAATTGTTGGGATTTTAAGATATTGGAGCAGTCGTGAGTTAGAAAATCAGTTATTATACTTTCAAAGATTTTTGGGATTGTGCTTAGGATGGAAATTGGGCGATAATTTATTACATTAGATTTGTTACCCGATTTGTAAATGGGAGTAACATAGGAGAGTTTCCAAAAGTCAGGAAATTCACCAGTGCTCAGTGATTTGTTAAAGATATGAAAAAGTGGCCTAGATAATGCAAAATTAAATTTTTTGAGGAAAATGGGTGGAATTTCATCGAAACCTGACCCTTTATTAGTATCAAGTGTTGAAAGCTTAACATAGATCTTGGAAATTTGGATAAAATAAGAAGATACGCATATTGCAGATTGGATTTCACTTCCATTTAAATTTAGCATTTGGTTCGTGTATACAGAAGAAAAGTGACTAGCAAATAGATTGGCAATGTCATTACCGCAGGAAGCTACTGTATCGTTTAATGTCATTGAGTCAGGTAAAGAATTATTTTTTCTCTTATTTGTTACAAATTTCTAGAACGCTTTAACATTTTTTACAACTGAATTCTCAGTACGGCTTACGTAACTAGCATAACACTCTTTTGATAACATTTTGCATTGAGCTCTGAGTTGACTAAAATAATTGTAATGTTCAGGAGACTTAGTACATTTATAAGTTTTATGGGCTAACTTTTTATCGCGTAACAACTGTCTAAGCTGCGGAGAATACCAACAAGGAAATGAACTTTTACCGATTTTTTTCACTGGAACAAATAATTGTTCTATCACTGAAAACATTACATCGTAGAATATGCACACCATATCGAAAAGTTCTTTACCATGAAGAAGGCCATCCCACTTAATTGCATCCAGACACTGGTGTATAGCTGAGAAATCTGCATTACGGAAATCATAGTAGTATTCTGTTCCAGAGGGTATATTTTTATCAACATAAAGCTGCAAAGTAGTTACAAGTGGGGGTGATAAGAGTCAGGTGGAATTAAAATGTCTACAGCATTGGAAACTGTGAGTTCATCAGGTGAAAGGACTAGATCAAGAATTGCTCCTCTACTGTTGAGCACCTCGTTTGATTGAAAGAGGTTATGTAAGGCACATATATTTGAGACAACTTCAGTAGCTTCAGCTTCCGCTAATGATGTGTTGTGCTGTACAGTTGCTGAGGAACAATAATCTTCCACTTCCCAAACTGCAGACGAAAGATTATAATCACCAAATAGATGGAACTTGGAGTTTGGATATTGTTCGCTTAAGTGTGTAATCTGATCAAAATGAGTTTGATAATTAACAGGTTACTTCGGAGGGATATACAGTGCACCCAGATTACATTTATTATTTATGTGAACAAAAAGCTGTTCAACTGATGCGTTGGACTAAATAAGACTGGTAGAAAGTTTTCTCTTCGTAGCTATTAGTACACCTCCCCTCTTTCATATTTACTGGATTGTTGCGTGCGATCTCGTCTATACACGTTATAGTTAGCAAGGCCAAGTTCAGCATCATTAAAGCCGGCAGTAAGCCAAGTTTCTGTTAGAATGATAATATCATAAGAACTGTTTGAGGTATTGAGACTTAATTCAGTTAATTTGGTTTGGAGATAACTTGATTTTGCCCAAGTCAGTATACTTTAATGGTTTTTTTGGACGATCATTATTAACATATTTAATTGTTAAATCCTGCTCACCTGCATTTTGTCGAACAGAGAGTTCAGTTCTTACTGATTCTAGAAGTTGTCTCTGATGAGGAGTTTGATCCAAATGAATGAACAGTTTCTTATTTCTAGTAATGTTTTGTTTATTTTTGACTATCAAATGAACATCTCTAGTTGAAGATAAAATTACTTTGAGAGGACGATGCCCATTTTTGTTATTCTTGCCAAAACGTTTTCGTATCATTAATATAAATAGAGTTAACGGCATTTACTAGAATAGATTTTACTTGCTCGACATCATCATGGATATTGGGTAGTTCAGGAAGATTGAAGATAAGCAAGTTTTTTTCCCTTCTGTGACGCTCATTCATTTTATTTACGACTTCTACCATCGTAAAAGCGGGTGTGCTCACATTTTCTTTAAGTCTCGAGATGTCTTGTTTCAAAGATGTGACTTCAGATTTGAGAGTCTCCATTTCACGCAGAAGTTCGGGCACACTCATAAAACATAACCGACAATCACTGCAGAAGAATATTAGAGATCTTTTCTGTATAACAACAGCTCGAAGTTCAGAAGCACACAAACCTGTGCAAGTTTCTTTCATGTGCATAGCTACGTGACAACTGTAACAAACGACAAATTTTTCAGCAAGGGTTTCCTTGCAGCAAGAACAGATGTTTACCATTTTCAACAATTAGTCTCAGACTATTAGATTCAGAGCCGCAATTTTATGCGTTTTCTTTTGGACTGTAGAAATAAATTAATTAGTAATTACCTTTATCAGTACTGTTTTTATTGAGAGTCTTTTCACTTTTTATTTTTATTCATTCACAGATAAATCAGTTAGATTTGATTTAAATATCTAAGTTTTATTTATATGGACCACGACTTGTTATGTTGATTCTACTTCCACCGATAGGGCAATCAACATGTATTCACTGAAAAGAACAACGAAATTTTTAGGCACAATACAACCACTGATTTTTATAAAATATAAGGAACAAACCAAAACAGTACCATTAGCATCGATATTTTTATTTTAATTACATTTTTTATTGCCTTGTTTGTAAAATTTAGTATTTTCAAAAATATTAGATGTATTGATAATTTGGATCATGCAGGTATTAAATAAAAATAAGGCTGTTGGTAACTTAGTTTACAGTTGGCAATAAAGTATGTCTCGAAAAGAGCAATAAGTATTAAACATAAATTTCCATTTTGATTAGGCACTTAACAAGTCACATCCCACATATTTACATGCTCTGGGTAATCAATCCTATAAGTACATAACAAAACAATAATATAATATCTGAAACTAAACAATAATTTGAAAATACAGATGAAGCCAATTTATCTATTTAGACAAAATTACTAATATTCTATTATTTATTAAAACACATTATTTTTTAGTAAACATGTTTATGCAAAAGTCTGTGATGAGGATAGGACAGTAGCGAGAGCAAGAATATTTTGGAATGTGCAGTGAAATACACTTAGAAAGGGTCATATGGAGAATTAAGTGTGATAATATTTTCCGATGTGTATTTCACTATTTTAGTTCAAAGATTTCTGTAAATGTTCAATTATGTGCTGCTATTTCAAACTTTGATAAAAGAAGTTGAATATTATTGTTGACATCTTTAAAATGTCTATTCTACCTTATACATTTTTTTCTACTCTTCATACAGTATTATAGGTTTACTTTGTCCGTCTGTCCGATGTCACGTTTTGTGTCTGCATGATAATTCGAAAACGAGAAATGATATCAACTTGAAATTTTTTAGCAAAAATCAAGCTTTATAAAGGAACAAAGTCTATTGATTTTTAACAAATCTGATTAAAAATAGGGGGTTAAGATAAGTTGAAATAAAAAAATCC